GGGGGGGTTGTGACATCATTGTTCCTTAGTTCCTTAGGAGCACTGTAATTCGGCTCTGGGGAGGACTACATGCAATAATAAGAAAGGAAAGAGTACGTAGGCCTGCATTAGGCCCAGGAGAAGAGAGTCAGTTTCAAGTAGCCTATGAAGTTTTCATGCATTGTGGAGGAGAGGAGGCCGGAGGCTTTGGAGGCAGGGGTCTACGAGGGTTCAGATTACTACTAGGTCATGTGACCATAAAGATACCAGTTAGGCACAAAGGCTTCGAATTTGCGGTAGCTATTTTAAAACGTGTCTATATGGATAAAAAATCATGTCAAACCGATAGTTGACTATTGCTCATGGTCGTTTTTGAGATAGAAAACGTTGTTTTACCCTTTTTACCCTGAAAAATTTACTAATTATTTATTGACACTTCAAACATCGCAGTTGCTATTATAATTTCGGCTTCTTTTGCTGATACGTATCTGCCTCTTTGTAATGGCGACGGCCATCATAACAAAGATCAAGCGTAGGCCTAGTCGAGTCCCCCGGAATAAACAACAGCTCAGCAGTTTGAAGTTGTGCCTGGTGTAAGTTACTGTTGGCTGATCAGTCCACTAGATTTTAACAAACATTGGCATGTGCATTAAACTTCTATGGGTATGGTGAATAATGTTTGTCTTACCTCAAAGAAATAATTCTGTCCTTGGCTTGACGTTGCAGAAGTGCAGAGCAGAAGACGGATTGTGATATAAGTCAAGAAAAGTTAAAAAAAAGAATGAATTGGGTGATCTTATACTTTTAAGCTCGTTAGATTCTTCAATTGATTTTATCTAGACATCTAGAATCTAGATCTAAGCTATCGTAGGCTAGAGGCAGAGGTCTATCTATCTATCTGTCTTTAGAGACATCGGCCCTTGGCACGACCGTGCCCTGACTGAGCCTGAGCGCGACCAGTTCCCCTTTTTTCCTTTTGTGCAGCTCGTGTTGCAGTAATCTGTTTTATTAGAGTTACGTAGCGAATGAGTTAAATAGTGTACTAACAACTTTCTTGCACTTGTTAATGTCTGTGGGCGCATGTTCGCGCCCCGTTCCCTATGCGGTCGCGCTGAGGCTGAGGGCTTGCAGTCGCGCCAAGGGCAGAACATTAGGCTAACATTTTAAAATGCGAAATCTGCCAATGACGTTTTAGAATGAGTGACGATATCATGGTGTAAACCGGAAGTTGACACACTGAAGCGGCCCTGAACATGGATTGCCTACCTATTTTGCCGACAGACACCGCTGAGAAGCAAAATATGACAAGTGGTCACGGGTTGGGCCAGGTACTCTAGATCAGGTCTACCGGCCATTGTTAAAAGCCTTATCCGTGGGTGCCTCAGAGAAATGAAGACTGCTGGCCAGAAATAACTGCTGGCCAGTAATAAGGTCAATACTGGAAAAGGATGTCGTAAAATGTAAGCCGCATGTGGCTGGTTTCAGGTGAACAAGCAGATTTTGCATCCTATCAGTTTGTCCATTTTCTGTCTGTGACATTTTGGTAAATCCGGCCACTTTTGGAACTTTAAGGTCAAACCAGCCACCCATCTTGGCCAAACAGGCCGCCCTTCATGGATGTTAAAAAACACTATTTGACTTTGTTTTTTCCTTTCATAATCACTTACTAGGCTCAACTGCCCTATTGCCAGGGCATTGATCAATTTGGGGTTCGATTCCAACATACCAAGGAGCTTGAAAGCGTCTTTCCAGGAATCGGCAGAATATTTCGTTCACCAAAGACGACTGTCATACATTTTTCGCACACAATAGACCAAAAGTTCATGTTCATGTTAAACCAATTTATTAGCAACACAGGCTTGCAATTTAAGAAAAAGGCCATGTCCCTGGGAGAACTGTAAAAGAAAAAATTACAAACTCAATAACAACCATGTGTACGACAAGGTCTCACACTACAAACACCCGAATATCGTACACACAACGTGGAATTCGCTGGTCTCCTCACTCTTCACCAGTATCTTCTCTCTGTCTTTATCTGTATAATATATCCTCTGTGGTACCATCTCCTACATTTGCACTCAAGATCAATCCATCCATCCAGGTCCCTGTTACTTGCACAAACAGCACATACACTTTCATCACATCATTCACACTCCACATATCGTTCATATCCATCTCAACATCCGACCTGTCATCATACACTCCTCATCATCATCCGAACTTGAACTTTCTTCCACTCTTCTCTTCTTGCCCTTCCCTTTCATTGCTGCCTCCTTCTTCTTCTCTTCCAACCTTTCGGCTTTCTAATTGCTCTCTCTCCAGGCGCTTCCTGTCCTTCTCTTCAAACTTTTTCTTCATCTTTTCCTCCCTCTTCCTCAACATTTCTGCCTTCCTCTCTTCCTGTGCCCTTTTCTTTGCCACCTCCTCTTTTTCTTTGTTCTCGTAAAACTCCTTGAAGAAGACGTGATACATAGGAGGGGGGCTGAACACATGATTGTGTTGTCCCCCCCCTTAAAATCATCACAATAATTACTGGAATCAAAATTATGGTATGCATGTACACGCATGATGGGAAATGTATGCCTACACAAGGACAATAAAGATTATTATTATTAGCCTATTACTATTATTATATAATTATTATTATCATCATTATTTTTAGTAGTAAAACATAGCACACATGATTGTGCAGTCCCCCCCCCTGCCCCCAAATCATCACTGTCATCAACCCGGCCGGTTTCACCACGATCGCATAAAAATTCTTTGGTCGGACCAGCCACCCCATTATAATGGGGCTAGAATGAAAGACGAACACCGTCAAGATGACCCAAATACCATCTAACAAATATATTAAAATAGCATATGATGTAGTGGTTGACCCGGAACTCCTCAATAAAGACCCACTTTCGACTTAAGTAGCAACTTCCTGTCACTCCTTGCAGCCCATAACAATGAAAGGGAAACTCACTTTGACGAAGAAATCTGTTGAAAACGAAAGTTGCCTGGTCTTCTCAAGGCTTGCCCACACTCAAACGGCACGAAAGACCTCTATGCAGACGTCTGTTGTTTTAGTACAGGGTTTTGGAAGCGCCAGTATCCATTGCAAACCTTGCAGTCTCGAATCAAATCTACTCCATTTGCAGCTTATCGTCCTATTAAGTCCAATCTCTTGTAAGTAGTGGTGCTTAATGTCTTGTGCTTACAACACTTTAAAAGAAATGATCGGGATCGAAACAGTCAATCATTTGCACTGCATCATTGAACTTTGTTTGAACTTGCTTTCGTGCGTAGGCCTACTCTTAGTCTTCTTCTTCCTCTCAGTTTATGTAATGTACAGCATCAGAATCAATCTGGGCAGAAGAAGGGTGCTGCACAGTCACAGTTAGACTGCAAGTTGCAAAGAAAATAATCCAAGTCGGCCGGCTGCCATCGTGCGGTTGTGTTGCCACCATGACTGACAAAGTGGGAATCCCTCTGTGATGTCAAACAAGATGGCTGTTACTGTAACTATTGGCCAATGGCGTTTAGTTTTCGTTATCTAGCTATCCGCTTGTCACCTAGTTGGTGCTCATGCCCCCTTGTGTCTAGCAAGGCTTTTGGCCTCAGCTTTTGCAAAAATCATAAAATTGCCTATTCCTCCTTTCCCCCCCCCCCCCCCCCCGGCCCGCGTGGGATTTAGACTCTGTATACCTCATTCCCGCGGAAGAAGGTGATTGATTGTCATCACTGATCTCCTTAGAGTTGAAGTTTTTGAAGTCTTTTATTTCAGAGCAGAAGCTTGACCTATCCTTTGACCTGTTTTACGCACACTGGAAGCTTTTTGTTGACATACTAAAAATAACATGATCATATACATACGTGTTCATTATATAGGCTAGATCTCTTCTATATATAATATGTATGCCATTTAAAAATGCATTGCGAGCCTCTGAACTGTTTGGTTTCTTTGTCGAATGCAGATAATTAATATTAAAATTTTTGGTAGATTTTGTAGAGGCAGCAGGCAGCAGATTTTCAGTTCATTGAAGGATGACTCATTAATTCAAGGAAAATGTTAATGATTAAAATTGTGATTATGACAGAAGAAAAGTTTGGTTTGGATCTTTAGCTAGGTGTACTAAACCCTTTTTTTTTTGTCTGTGTGTTTGTCACCTGCTTTCTCTTTCTCTGGACTTACCGCGTCATCCTTTACCCTCTCTTCTAAGATGAAAAGGCAGTATTGAAAGAGGTCTGATTTTGATTGACATTCTATCACCACCATACTTTATGGGTGTGTTTTGAGGAACAGTTCATGTATGCTGTATAAAAACAGTCCAAGTCTAAGAGAAGATGACCAACTTTTTTTTTTAGAATCCTAGTGCTCATGATATTTCATTGAAAACCCAGAGGGCGGACTGTATTACAGTTCTTTATTTTCATGATAACATCATGAGTATTAGAACACCAAGATCTAGATTTTACTATATGCAATCTTGTATTTTGTAATTTATTCATATTCATAAAGTATAGAGTTGATGAGTTCAGTTTGTGCTCATTTATCTTATTTTTCTTCTTTTCTGTGCACAGTGCTGCTCCGTTCCAGCATGTATAGAGACTTGTCTAACTGTCCCATCGGAGGGTGGTGGTGAACAGAAGGATTAAGGCGACCAATCACCACCCAGCAGGAAGATGCCGTCTTGCTTACTGTGGTCTGTTGTTGCAACAGTTCTGCTTTGCCCATTGATTCAGACGCAGGGCAACGACAGCCACTCATGTGATCAAGGACACTACTTCGACTTCCGTAAGGACTTCTGCAGACCATGTTCCCCAAAATGCCCGGACAATCAAATCATAAAGATTCCCTGCGCCGAGTTTACAGACCTCCAGTGTGAGCCATTCATTTTCAAAGAAATTTCAGGGTTTGATGTTGGTACCATTATTTCCTATCCAAATTCACTTGACAAGAGTTTGGAAGACAATAATTTTAATGTAAAAAATAAGGGGTCTAACTCTGAGAAATCCAAGAACAGAAAGTCAGATGGACCAACGACGGTGGAGAAAGAAGACCAAGAGTACTGGAAGGCATTAGCGTTTGCTCTGATTGGTCTGCTTAGTGTGCTGATCGTAGCTACAGTGGTGGTGCTTTTTGCCTGCTGCAGACTTCAGAGAGCAGCTGCAGCCAAGCAGCAGGATGATGGGGAAATGGGTAAGCATTTGCTTGAGAATATTATTAACTTTTTATTTGTTTTACTGAGTAATTTAAAAGTCTTTGTTTTAGATTTGAGATGTGAAAGATTGCAATATATATATAATAATAATAATAATAATAATATATAACATTTATATAGCGCATTTCCAAAAAAAGTAGCTCAATGCGCTTTACATTGGAATACCCATTTTTAAAAAAACCTTTCTTACTACTTCCTTTCTTCCCATGCAATATACATTAATGCACACACACACACACACACACACACACACACACACACACACACACACACACAGAGACTATTTTCTTCCAGACATAGGAACAGAACAACTATAATGAAAAATAACGTTAAAAGCTTATGAAGGATAGGCCTGTAGGAACAGAAAATGTTTAAGATGTCTTTTGAAGCTATCAAGTGTTTTTATTTGTCTTTGTTTCATGGGTAATCTGTTCCACATAAATGGACCAAGGTATGAGAAAGATCTCTCTCCATATGATTTGTATGATTTTACAGGTGTCACAAGTAGGGTATATCACTTGCTCAAAATGTAAAAATACATAGTTGTAGAAAAAAGTTGTGAAAATTCAGTATTTTAATTTTCTTTTCGTTTTAACCAATGGACAATGAAAAGATCCCCATTACGGAAAGCCGGTGTAATTTAATGAATATGAGAGAGAAAAAGAGAAGATTCAATGTTAATTGGATCCACATTACTAGTTTTAAGAGTACCTATTTTTAAATGGGGTTTCCAGTTATGGAATTTTAATTTTTTTTAGGTGTGTCTCCAGAGTTGCACTGATTTGAACTCTGGTGGGCTGTGCTGAATGTTTGTGTTTATGATGAAAAAAATATCAAGCTGTGTCTACAGTGCGAGTGGCTAGCATGATATGATGTGGCCAGGTGCAGAAAATGATCACCTTCCCCCACAGCTGCCAACTGTGCTATGATCTATTCCTGAGACTGTTGACATCACAAACTTTACTTTATTGTGGTATTTTATTATTGAATTGATGTTGAGAGTTGGGGATAGTCTGAAAATGCTCTGGATTTTGTATTTTTGTACTTAATTTCTGTGTGTTACTATTATTGTTGATTTGTCCCAATCTGTTCCTATGGGAATTTTGCTTGTCATTGTATTTCAAAACAATTTTGTGAACCGCTTTTGTGTTTGTGGAGGAGTAAAGTATTAATTTCTTCTGTTCATTGTTTTTTCCCCTCAGACGACACTGACTCCGGTTATGTCGTGATAAGAGCCATCAGGAACATTGCAGACCCACGTCCAGGTCACCCAGACCCGTGCATTCTTCGGCACGAGGAGCTGGCGTCCCATTCTCCCCTCTTAGAACCCACCTCAGACTATGGGGGTTCGGACACGCTTCAGGAGTACCCGAGCCACCGCCCGCTGCCAGCCAAGCTGTGCTTCCTGCCCAAAGTGTACAACCCCCAGCGACGTCTGCTCAACTATGACACAGACGATGTGTTTGAGTCTGATGACAGTGGCGGCTCGGTACGCTTTTCTTCTCAGAGCAAACTGAAGACAATTCCAGAGAAATCAGACCCAAGTTCTTACTCTAAATCAAAAGGAAATAGCACGCATGTTGTGTAGATATTCATGGGTTGTTGGTTTCTTTTTGTTAGTTAATTTTTACAGCCAGAGTAATGTAAAAACACAGTGCTGCTCTTGAGACAGTATTGATGGTCGCAGTTGGAGCACATTTCTCTTTCAGAGCTAAGTGTTTATTGTAATTTTACATCTCAAAAGAAGTTGTCCTGCTTGCCGGTGTGAAAAGCAAAAAAAAAAAAAGCAGCTGTTAGGTTTTCATTTGATCCCTTTAAAGCTATTAAAGGATTCTTAATTAATGATTACCTTCATTGACCAGTAAGAACAGTATTTCTTGTTGGACATGCATGAATTTTTTGTTATTCATGATATTATTGTCACCTTGAATGTGGGAATTAGGGAGGTTGTGGTATGATTTCACATCAATGAGTGGAGGTTGATCTGATGAAATGCTTGCCGTTCAGAGGTCTTTGTTTTGTTTCCATCAGTCTCCTGGCAGTAACCCTAATTTTGAAAGTGGTTTTACGAATAATTTATATAGAAAATTATGTATACAATTCATTTGCAAAATGATCAGGGTGGAAAAGAATAATATGGGGCTCGGGATGTTTTTTTTTTTGCATCCCGTAAGCCGGTGCACCTAAGACTAACCATCGATTTAAGAAATATTGAGGTCCAGAGTACCAAGGATTTAGTGCTATCTACTTAAACTTTTTCTTGAATAAAGTGAAGCTTGTTTTCTCTCCTGTAACAAGTGTGGGAGGTTACCGATAGCTATAAATAGTCCAGGCTAATTTCTCCCAAAAGTGGCTTCCTGTGTCTGAACAATTTGATGAACTAAAAATCAATCTAGAATGTATTATTTTCTTTTAGGAAGTGGCTATTCTCATCCGGGGTGAGAATAGAAAAACGATCTACCTCTCACCCCGGGTGAGACTTGCCAGCGTAGGCTATTCTCACCCGGTGCGAAACAAGACCTGCTTTTTCTCATTTTGGAATACTGTCTATCGGTGTGGATGATCAAATTGATAAAAGCCAAGAAAAAATTACGTTCTAGCATAAAAGTAAGCTAATTTGATCGTCTTCAAAGATGCTATGGCTATTTCACTGTTCGAATCGAGCCGAACTACGCGGGTCGCCATTTTGTTTTGCCCGGAAGTTCTCGCAAGATCTACTCCTCCCCTCTCTCTCTCTCTCTCTGTCTCTTTCTGAATACTGTCTATCGGTGTGGACGATCAAATTGACCAAAACAAAGTTAAAAAATGATGTTAAAACACAAAAGTAAATTAATTTGGTTGTCTACAAAGATGCTACGGCTATTTAACTTTTCGAATCGAGCCGAACTACGCGGGTCGCCATTTTGTTTTGACCGGAAGTTCTCGCTTTACTCCTCTCTCTCTCTCTTTCTCTCTCTCTTTCTCTCTCTCTCTCCACTCCTCACAGACAAAATTGTACGCTTTTAGTAGGCTACAGTTGTAATGGAACGTTTGTTCACGGCACAGAATTCTACAATTTTTCTGTTATCACAGTGTAGAATTCTGTGGTTTAGGGTGAACGCAAAATTTGTTGGCCTAGATCTAGGCTATAACGGTGAACGCGCACCGGGTGAGAATAGCCAAAAGACTCGCCTGCACTATTCTCATCCCGGGTGAGAATAGAGGTGGCCTTTCTTTTATTGTGTTGTGTATTACTCCCACCAGCAGTATCAAATGAGATGCTTATGTTATTGATTGTATCAGTTTTTGTTTTCCCTTTTACTGTGAAATTAAGATTTCTTATTATATATTGGTTATACTGTCCATTGAGGGGTGACTTCTTAAAAGAGAAAAAGTTGTTATCTCATAGCCACGGCAAAAATGTTTTGGATTTTTTTTTTCAGATATAGGGCCCAGATCTGAACTAGTTTTTCTTCTTTAATAACTTACACACCTTTTGCTGTTTGGTGTAGCCTTAGAAGTTTTAAAATGTTTCAAATGTGATGAGTCTGCAGGCTTCTATGGCTTGTTTTTCAAAAGAATTATTGTAAGTTATTATCATAGATTCACGTAAAATTGAAAATAAGTTTTGCTTTATTAAGCGGAATTGGAAATAAGATGGTTAAAAATGCCCTCATGATTGTTTGGATTTCCTATGCTTGAGCAGACACATTCAAATTATATTCACCTGTTTCCCTCCTGGGGTTTAGTTCATAAGAAATTTAACTTTGAGAAGATAAACGGTTGTATGAGTGTTCATTGACAGTTTTCACTTTTCTCAGGTTAGTTTGAGTAGTCACATGTGTTTGTGTACCCTTTGTTGTCTAGGTGACAATGCATAACCTGACCAACCAGTGGTTTTGTAGTTTGGAACATTTTGGTTGTTTTCCGTCTAAGATTCATGCTGGTTTGAAACACGTTTTATTTCTGTCTGGGTTTTTTTCTGTTGGGTTTCAGTGGTTTTCTATAGGTTTATTTTTCTTTATCTGTTCTTGTCCTGAACATTTGTACAGTTTATGTATAGAGAGAGATACAGTATGGTGCTAGAGTTATGCTTGAAAACTGACTCCCTTGTGAAGTGACTATGACTATGAGTATGACGCTGTCTTTTCTTTTTTTTTCTTCTGTTGTTTTTGAAGCAATGATGTTTGATATTTTGGATATGAGTATGTACTTATACGTTTGCATGACATGTATTTCTTGTTTATCAATAATATGTCAGTGAAAGAGTGTGTTTAAAATTGTGTGTATGATGAGATAATTTGTTGAGCTGGGTTTTTTTGAGTTCATTGTGAGCGAGGAGAAGTATGACTGTAATCATGGAGTGGAGAGATCGGGTGTTGAACTTTTTGTGTCTATTGTCGAACAAGAATCTACAGAACACAGCATATCTATGGTGAGTCCCATTCTACATGTGTATACACTTGTATTATATTTACATCTCAGATGTAGTTCAAGGGGAAATCTCATGAACCCACCAGCATTCATATGGTTCGTATGTTGCTGCCAAAAATCATCAGCATTTTGAATATTTGTATTTATATATCATTATTATCGCTTTTTTTGTGTATACATGTGTATATATATATTATTTTATGTAAAGAAAATGATTGTGACTGAGTTTGACGTGTGTGATTTTAAATTGGAAGTGAGCGAAGAAGTCCCTCTTGTCAGTGCCCGTGTTGCCATTGTGTGAGCAACAGACTGCCACTGCAGGATTGGCGTGTTTGTTGAGATGTCTAGTCACACACCGACAATACCCCAGGGCTGCCAACTGTCCATAATTTTGTGGGACTGTCCCTCCCCCTCATTCAGAATACCTGGTCGCTCTACCCTTTTCCAGTCACTGTTGTCTTGAAAAATGTTTTGTTCCTTTGTTAAAGAAAGTAGTATACTTACTTTTGAAGTGTACAGCCAAACCTCCCACCCTCAAATCCACATATTCTTGGTGTACACTGGTGACTCACCCCATTTTCTTTTCCAGTTGGAAGCTTTTATTGAGAAGTCAGATTTGGCTCAACTATTTATTACACTCCTTTTCTAGAAATCCAAGTGTAAGCATCATTAGCCTTTTGGCCTGTATTTGTCCAATGACTGTGGCTCACTTTGAATCATATCTTTACTGGGAACATTGAAATTATACTTTATACCTTGATCTCACGAGCCAGCAAAATTTGAAATTACAGTGAGGGCTGTTGGTGGTTGCTCTGGTGTGGTGGGCTCCTTCTTTCCTGTCAAACATCTATCATCCTTGACTGTTCTTCTTTTCAAATCGCAAATCTCTCGCACTTTTATGACCTATTTGTGTTGCAAGTACCGTAAAACTAAAAGTGACATTGCCATCTTGTGCACACGGTCTAATGTGTGTTTGTCACTGTTTTTTCTCACAATCCTTTGGCCTCTTTATGTCGAGAGGTTTTGCCTCCCACATTTGGATCCTTACTTGGCGGCCCTGGCTTATTTGTTTGGTATCAAAATCAAAAACAGATATTTGAAGACAAATTGTTGAGGAGTCGACGTTTGGGGCTGTGGCTGTTATTTAAATCTTCCTTTTAGAACTTTGAAATTGGTGTGTTTTGGGTTTTTTCCTGAAGATTGTTTTATGAACTGTGAGGCTGAAACAGGAGGTTATCTGACTATTTTAGAGTTCAGAGCTATTGCTTGTAGTGGTGTAAAGGGCTGCTGATTAATTTTTTGTTTTGATAATAACTTTTTCATGGAACTTATGGGTTTTTTAAAATCTGAAAATCCTGAAGCAAAAGGCAGAGAGAGAACTTCTATGAGATAGTTTATCATATTTAACAGAGTTGGGCTTTATTTGTATGTAAGGGAACATCTTGGGTTGGCTGTATAGTTTGCAGGATGCCTCAACATAATATTTGAGTTTGCCCATTGTAGTGTAGCACTCTTTGTTGTGGATTGCCGCTTGCTGTGTATATCATGTTCAGAAGTATGAGTGTGTTGATGTTGAAGGAGGTGTGTATGTGTCTTTGTTGGAGCATTTGTGCGTGTGTGTTTGAGGTGAGCTTCAGTGTAGTGTAGGGTTCTGTTCCTTTCCATTTTCAGGATTGGCACAGATGTTGGTGTCTTTTCCTCCATTCTGGGAGATGTTCGGCTGTTAGTATTTTGGCAACAACACTTGAGGTAGATTGGGCTGGTGGGTGGTTGGCGGGTTCTGTGGTGTGGTTTGCTCCTTCTTTCCTATCAAACATCTATCGTCCTTATTTCTTCTCCTTTTTTGTGTTTGTTACTCTCTTGTAAACCCTCTAATCTTTGGCACTTATATGACCTTATTGTGTTGCAAGTGCCGTAAAACTCTTACTAAAACTGAAAAGATTGGGCTCGAAAAGGGAACATCTTGACATCTGTTTTTACCCCTCTTTTTTATGCACCATATCTTGTGTTAGCTTTCAGAGAAGTATCTTAATTTTACTTCTTTGTACTTATTCCTTGTTTTGGGGGGGGGGGGGGGGGGGGGTTTGCTGTCTCTGACAGCATAATTTTCTTACTTACAAGCTCTGTGGAAGTAACTTCATGATGTGCAAGGATGTTGGTGAATCAGAATGTTTTGAGACAGCTGATATTGCTTTTTTTTTAAAATAAAGATGTTAATTAAAAATTGTCTTGAACAAAAACAAATTTCCTCGTTCCAAAATGTTAACATGTTTTAATGCAACTGATACTGAACTTGGCTTCCAATTTAAAAATTGACTGGTTGAATGCATGTTTTGGGTGAATCAGAGGTTTCCGGTGAAAGAAAAACCTTAACGAATATGAATATGAACATGTGAACTGATAGTTTTGTCTAAACGTCCATCCAAAATAGGCCCACCATGTTCAGGATGAAGGGATATTTAATGTAAAGGAAAAAATGGATTCTTACTTCACTCAGTGAGGACGAGGTTTTGTTGAGTTCTGGTTTAGTGAATGCAAGGTTCATTCTAGGTCCATATGATATGAACATATCTTATTATCCCCAAAACAAATTATAAGTAAAGTTGAATGATTTTTTTAAAAAATAAATAAATGTTGTGCTATAATCAATGCTTTTTATGCTGGACAGGTTTCTGTGGAACAGCATTTTAGAATGTCTTTATTGGTCCATGATACATTTATTCTGTTCTGGAAACCGAGCAGCTGTGTTGAAATACAGAGGCTCAGCTTTTGCTGTTGATTTACCTAATGTTATAGGCTATAAAATGGCTCAGTCTTCCTCTCCACTTCTTCCCTCATTATTGAATAAGATGTGTTTCTGGTGCAGGTAGTGATCATACATCAAATACACTCATGGAATAAAGTCTGCACTCAGGGATGTCAGAAAGATTGTATACAGCGTGTTATCTGTTACCTCCCCTCCTCGTGGGTTCAGGGAAAAGAGGAAGATCCAGTGCTCTCCTGCGGGTGTTATTTTTTAAAGCTTTTATAGTGGAAGGTGAAATTGTTCTCGTGGGACTTCACCCCTTCACTGTACATGCGGTGTTATCATTTCTTTGTTACCTTATCTCTATCTTTCCCCCCTTCCGACACCTTTTCGCTAATCTCAGGGCCAAGTGCTCCGCATTCAAAATGACCTTTTGTGCCTAGTAAGGCATTATACTCTTACAAAAAAACAAAAAAAACAGACGATGTGAATGATCTGCCCTTGACAATGCCACTCATCTTGTCTTGCCTGTCTGCGGCGTGCAGGAACAAACACTCCCTACTGTGTATTGTACAAACATGTACATGAAGTGTTCATGTATTTTCTCCACTACCTGTTTTTTCGTTGGGTTTTTTTTTTTTTCGTGTTTGTTATATTTTTCAACAACATTTGCAGATATTTAAGACAACTAGTTTTGTATTTGACAGGCCTGGCCCAAGTCTGATAGACAAGGTTGATGATTGTAATAAATCTTGTTTTGAGAATAGATTTTGCCTTTGTTCTTGTTTTGTTGTGTGACTATGTTTGTTACAGATTTCGTGTAATAAAATGTTCTGAGGGTAGGGAATAGAACTATCATAAATATCAAGATGTACTACATTTGAAACTTTCTTCTTTTTATTCGTCCCCATGCTAGAGCTCTAGGGGTAACTGTCTGTAAAATCTTCAACTTTCACTGCATTTGGATTTTTACGTACATGACTTTTCTAAAAATTTACATAGAACATGACATAAAATTAAAAATCAGTCCTTGCTTGACAGGCAGCCATATGACATTTTTGAACGTACTCTTAATCAAATGTTCACACTGACTGAAGCGAGGCTTCAGAATTTGAGTTAGAATTAATTTTGAATTTTGCCTGGATGACAGTCCCAAGGGTCTACTCTTTCCATTTAAGAACTGCCAAGGAATCTTAAACTTAACTCTTTAACTTTAACAGTTCTTTCCTTTAAAAATCGAACAAAAATGTTTGATGGTTTTGGAAGGCTATAAATCTCATATTTTGGTCTAATTTATCCCTTTTGGTGCTTCTACATAGAGTGTCGACTTGATTCTGGTGAATTACCCCCAAAACAATTTGGAAAATTATTTTTTTTCATACGTTAAATGGGTGTTGCATTTTACCTAAATCATTCTCATCAGTCTGCTATCTTGAATTACTTTCTTTTCTACAAAGATCAAAGCAAGAACAAAAGAATTCACCTATATAGGCTATATTTATGGACCCAGAGGTCAGATAAATGTATGCTGCTCGAATTGTGATGTCTAAGAGCCAAAGGGAGGCCCCTCTAACAATATTAGTGAAATATTCTGTATTTCTATTTATAGAAATCTGAAAAGTAGGTCAAATATATGCAAATTAATCAAGTGAAGTCTCTGATTTGTGTCTAAAATCAATACCTACCCAATATGCATTACTTTTTAGGTAAAATACCACAGTCATAGGAGCCTTAACAATTTTATAATAATTTTTAAAGCAATCGGACTATTTGTTAGCATTTCAAATTTGAAAAAGTAGGTCATGGTACTAAAAGTAATAGGCTGTCATCTCCACTAATTGGCCTGAAATTATTCAAATTTTTGGTGTATTTTGTAAAATCGAATGTTCCTTGATATAAACAAGAAATGGAATCAATTTTGTTGAAAACAAATTTGTTTTTCATTCTTTGCCTATGTAACGTAAAGATGAGAAAAAAAGTCATTTTTTCTATTTTTGGATACCAAGTAAGTAGGTCACATATGCCAAAGAAAAATCATACACACATAATTATTGTATCAAATCAAAGTGCCTCCAATAACCTTTCCATTGATATAAAACACTTATTGTGTTGACCTTCACTGGAATTGATAGGATTTTTAATTCTAATTCCACCCTCTTTACCTTAAAAAACTGGCCAAAACCCAAGAACTGTTGAGAGGGAAAAGAGCAAAACTTCCACTGTGAAAATTGTTGTCCTTATCAAAGAAAACTAGATCCTTAAAATCCTACTTATCTTAGGATCAGGAGGTGCAGAAATCATAAGAAAAAAAAACAAAGGCTGTGTAGATTGAACTCCAGACTTCCAGGATGTTGAGCTACTGGGCTCCCCTGATATACATTTAATTGATGCTCAAGAAAAATGAGCAACTCTATTTGAGCCTGCTTCTCAAAATGAGTGAAGAAAATTGAACGTTAATCTTTTTTCATGGGCTAGTCTCAATGTGATTATACTCCACAGGGTGCACATCATGTCAGAAGACGTGTAGGATTGTTATGGTATCTGTGCTAACAGGATAAATTCAAGATGGTAAAAAGTATACTTTGAATGAGATGTAGAGTAAGAGAGAGTGAAAAGGGATCGAGTTATATGGATCTGTTAGGAAATGTGTTTTCCAGTGAAACACATAACTAATTCATACATTAGGTTCTCTTGGACAAATTCAATCCTGTGGCTACTGATCTCAACAAAGACAATAATCTTTAATCATTGCTTGATGATCTCTGTGCAGCTTGTGTTCACTATTGACTCCATTACTTGAGCTTCTCCATTTCACTATTACTATTACGCAAACAGACACTCTTCTGCCCTTAGCTTTATATTCTCGATTTTAAAAGACCTGCCATCCTTGTAAACAGATTTAGAAGTATGCTCATGCTTTGTAACACGATGTATTGAGTGAGCTTTCCAAACGAGCTGCAAGTCTCTCCCCACATCTGCATAGAGTGCAGGAACGATTGAAACAAGCACCGGACATATAATCTTCCGCTAAATGACAACTCAACAATATATAATTTGTTGATCAATATTTTAAGGGTCACAGACTTTAGAAATTCTACAGTAATAAGGAACAGACTAAGACAACTAAAGTCCTAAAAATGATTGAATTAACGCAAGGAAGTCAATTTCATCATGAATACCTTTAATTATGCACCATTCCCGCCGTATTGCAAGGAAAAAGAAGCTACACAAAATGTAAAATGCTGTTTGTTCACAAAGAATGCTCATTCTCTTCCGCAACAAACGCTGGAGATTCAAAACTACAAGTATTTTATGACAGTCCCTGAAAACAAGCAAGAATAAATATTTTTTCCTCCAGATATATATTTTTTTTCAAAAGGGAAAGAAAGAAAGAAAGCAACAAAGTCTTCCCTCATAACATTGTATGTTTTTCTCATTCCATTCACTCATTCACAGATACTTACATACGCACATATGTGCATCGTGTACACATACTCTCTCTTCATCTCAAAACAATCACATTTTTACAATATTTTTCATGCTCACATCAACTCCCTCTCTCTCTCATAGTCATAGACACCACAAAAACAGCTCGAACTATACAGTCAATAATTCTCCACCGGTACCCCACTCAACATTACATTTATCCCTCAGGAATCTTTGTTTTCCTCTTCTTGTCTCTGCTCCGCATCATCGGCCCTTGGCCTCTCAGCCTCGAGGAGCAGAGCGATCTGTTGCCGTGACGACTCCAGAAACACGTCAAGACTTGCAAGATGTCGCCTCCGCACCCTGGCATCAGCCTGGAAAAGGTTCAATAAATTAAGTTACATTCATTGAATTTTGGACGAATTTTGAGGAAAAAAAGTGGGCGTTGGTAGGCACTCTCGTGTGTTTCGTTTCTTCTTTCTGATCAAACATTGGTCATCCTCACCTCTCCCTTTCTTTGTATGTAATTCTCTCATAAAACCTCTAACCTTTGGCCCTTTTATTCCTTGTATTTGTATTTCAAAGTGCCGTAAAACTTTTACTAAAACTAAACTAAAAAAAAAAGAAGAAAAATAATGTGTTCAGGCATCAAGACACATTAAAGGAATCAGTGGCATGGAACCTGCAGTATCATTTGGGCAGTTTCTTAAAATGTAAATTCCTGCACATTTTCAGGTGTCCCTACTTTACGTGCCTGGCAACAGAGACAGCGGTGTTAAAACCTATCGATGCTCCGTATAAATATGCACTTAAGACATTTTACATTCATGACTTTGCAGCAAAAAACTGAGAGTTGGATGTTATGGACATCTGCAATAAAAGTTTTCATTTAAAACTTGGGGCACAGTGTTTTCAAATCCCCAACACAAAATATTCAGTTGGTCAAATCACTTTTAAATGGCGAAAAAACATTTTTATATAGTGGAATCCTGTTATAACGAGAAGAAGGGGACCGGTGCCAAATGTCTGTTATAGCAAGATTCTCGTTATAAGGCATCCAGTAATAAATTCAAGGGAAATAGTAAAGCAGGCCTAATCTATGAGTCTGGTTTTCAGTTTATTTCTTTTTGTAATCTCCCCTGATGATGATTTGGTTCAACATGACCTTTAAGTTCTACTTGATCAAAAGTCGATTCAAGTTTCTTTCTCTAGCGCTAGCGATGTTGACAGCTCGGTGTTGGCGATCAGAAAGAAAGTTCTCTAGGCTAACTCGCCTACTGTGTTGTTCCCCACCATACCACACCTTGTGGTGCGTTCCGTCTGCTTGCGCACAAAGGGAACATACTACATCCCGCCCACGTCACACATTCACTCCGTCCATCACAGTACAGCACTAGACCTCTCCATCCCCACATCGGAGAGAGGCAGGGTTGGCTTAGATAATCTAGACTAGGCTGGCCTATCACACGATGCGTTCTGCTTGTCTGTGCATGTCACACTCTCCCCACTCATTCGATCCAGCCTTCATTGTTGGCACACGTTCTTTGTTTCGCAAGATAACCAACAAGTTTCTCAACCGGCAAGGTTTTGCATATATGAATAAATGGCCTATGCGCTGCGCACAGCAGCAGCTATATTCCGCTAAAATTGACTCCTGTGTTTGATTGCGCTATAGCAGTATTTTATTTACAAAGATAAAGAAGGGAAAAAAACTGGGTTTTAGAATAGTGTCTTTATAACAAACTTCTCGTTATTTCAGGACTCGTTATAAGTGGATTCCACTGTATTATCATTCTGCATTGAACAAAATTATTTCATACAAGTAATTTCTGTCGATTCTGTTCCTGGAAAAAAAGTAGATCTCTACCGCTTGACTTGACATTTCGTTTGTACCAGCAGGGAAGCTAAGGGTTCAATATACAATGCAAAAGACTATATAATTTGATTATAAACCGACACTGAAATCAACTCCCCGCCCCCTCTCCCTGTAAAAGAGGTTAACAGGCATAATTGATTGTTGGATTGTAAAGGGATACTGATACCCCCCTCCCTCCCCCAACAAAAGATGGTAACAAATACCAAGTTATTGTGGCAAAATGAAGGACATCCCATACACACTCACACACACACATACACACACACACTCTCGTGAACACATAGGCAGAGCACAAGCACCAAAATGGACTAACCTGTCTCTGTTCCTCGATGTACGCCCGTGTGTCCTGCCGGGCTTCTGACAGTGCTGTCTGCACCGCCTCCCTCCTCCGTTCTCGCTCCTCTCTGCCTAACTCCGACAGTTGTTCCTAAATCACAAACAGAGACCACAAAAGTTGAGTTTTGAGTTTGAGTAAAAAGATGCACATTGATATAGTAACAGTCATTTAGTGCAGGGGAAAAGTAAGACAGAGAGACAGAAACGGAAAAAGGCACAGAAAAGAAGGACCTACCACTGCACCTTTCAGACCCCTGAAAAGCATGAAAGATCCATTACAACAGAATAATTGTGATGCACTATGAGTTGTAGTATAACTGTGGGGGTGATCAAGAACAATCACTCTTTGTTAGGAAGCTGACTGAAACAACAGTCTCTAACAGAAAAAACGAATCATTAGGAACAGCATCAATTCGCTGAGAACATCATTTTTTAGTGCATAAAGTATAAATATAAACAGTAGTCTCCACACAAACGCACACCATACAAAAGCATGCTCCGCTCAAACGCACGCTTTCGTCATCTGACGGATTTTTTACTATTTAATTTAGACGTGCAAACTGCAAACACACTGTCACTCCCTCTAAACGCAAGCTTCGATCCGCAAAACATGCCCACAGGTAAAGCTTTACAAGGGGAAATTTCCACGACAACCTGCACAGCTTGCATATATAAGAAAAGCCTTGAAAACCAGGATTAAAGATTAGTCAAGTAAACCTAATCAGCTGCACTCGAAGAATTTATAATGTACTTGTTCAACGAATCACAAAATAAAGGTTTCTCTGAAAGTAGAAATCTATGATTCTGATGTCGTCCATGAATTTCAGTCGGGGGTGGTCGCTAGGAAAGCCACGTGGCTGGGCAGTCATCTCTATGACTATCACCAACAGTTTCCTCTTAGGCTGTTCCCCACATTTTAAGGTGCATACCATTACACTGAGCCTGTCTTTCTCTCCCCCCACCCACCTATTCAACGCCTTTGTATACCGCAGTCGGGGAATCCTTCACAAAACAGTCACGTGTCATAACATAATCGGCCAAAGTACCCCCCCCCCCCTTCAAGGGAGATGTCTAAAATATCAAGGCAATGAGATGACTGTGTCCCTTCCTCCCTTTACTCTGATTCATGAAAACGCACGCTCCATATAAACACACGCTAGGAGCCCTCCCCAGTGCCGTGCCTTTCGGCGGAGACTACTGTAATGAGTTCACAAAAGTATAAATATATAAAGACGAGAACAGCTGCTGTTATTCCTTCAGCATTTTTATAATCATTAAGACAAATAAATATATTCAAGAGACATTACAAAAGTTGTAGCTAGCATCGTATATTCACTCAGGCATTGATTGTCCTTTTTTTTCCCACCTTTGCGAGTTCTTTCTCCTCCTCCCTGACGGTGCGTAGTGCTGCCTCATGACTCTGTCGTTCCTCCTCCAGCTGCTGGGAGTAATCCACCTGGAGACGACAGAAAAATAAAAATAGTTGTTGGTTGAGCTTACACCCCATTATTCTTTGTTCAGAACACACTACAAACAATAACACAAACAAAAATAAAGCAAAATTTATGTATCATTTTACTTTTAAACCACAATTATTTATTGGATGACAAATAGAAGCGACGTTAGTGAGTTTGTTTTGTTTTTGTTTGTTTTTGAGGAGTTTTTTGCAATAAAACATCAGCTTACCCTGAGAGCCTCCAGCTGTGTGCGAGCCTGCTCCTGTTGGGCAGCGATGGCTTCCTGCAACCTTCCTTCACTCGCCACTCTCTCTGCCTGATGACAGAATAAAAGGATAACAAAAATGAATTCACAACGCAAACACATGTACATTACAGACATATTATGTAGTTTGTCCAAGACTAACAGAAACACATAAGCATGATAGTGATAGCTTACATACTGGGGGGAAAACATGGAAGGCAGAAAAATCAGGGATGCCACTCGACTTTTGTAAAAAATAAATGAAAATCTTTTTTGAGACTGGGTATGTAAGACTAGGCCTGGCCTACATTTGAAATCGCACCTAAACATCAGGTTGAATATACTAATTTTGATTCAGCGAGTGTATTTCTGTTGATTAAAAATATAGATCCTCGTGTCACTCTGTCCATATATGGAACAAAACAGAAAATCGGTTTTCCGCACAACCATTTTTGCGTGATTAATTGAGAATGGATCCAATGAACGGAAAATGGATTTAAGAACGGACGAATCCCAAAATAGCGGGGAAAAACAACAATGGAAATAACAAAAAAAACAGCATCCCTGAAAAATAGATAATACCGATAGCAATAAATTGCATTTATATAGTGCATTTCCACTAGGAAAGAGCTCAAAGTGCTTTACAATAATATAAAGAATTATCCTTCCCTCAATCTCTCTCTCTATTCTTTGTCATATCGACAGGCCAAAGGGCTAGAACACAGATGGCCACAGGATAGGAAAAGTAAAGTAAAGTATCTCTCTCTCTCTCCCCACTAACTCTGTACAGTTTTACTAACATTTAACTGATCAAGACGGTAAGAAAACTAAAAAGATGCCTTGGCAAAAAGATGCTATTTTAACAAGAGGGATCATAAAGGCGAAAGGACTTTGCAAGGTATCTTCAAACTACCAG